GTATTTTTATTTCAAGTGTGTACTATCATACTGTGAGCTGAAGATGATTTCTGAACTGCCATTAATTTTCACAACAGTCTTATTTTAACTGACTTGAAGAAATTTATTGGGGTTGTTTACTACTGATTTATAAAGACACTACACATTGTATAGTCTTTTATTAGGTGAACAGTAATATATTTCTATAATGTGGTTATCCATCCATCCATTCATCCATCCATTTTCTTCCGCCTATCCGGGGTTGGGTAATGTGGTTATCTCTGACTTAATTGATGATGTCTGATTTAAAAACAACACATAAGAACCGTGATCAAACAGTGTGAGGGATGAAGTTTGACATCTTGACTCCGTACAGGAGTAGCCTGCCCCTTTAACATCTGTCATGAGGTGGAGTCAGGATGGGAAGAAAGCTGTTACTTGATGTGTGTTTCCTGGTCAGCTAAGCAAGCTGATGCCTGTCGGAGACAGATTAAAACAAAAGCTAATCACTCCATACAGCTGTGTCTGAATGGTTTTGTATGGCTCACTCCAACATTCACATGTCATTATTAACTGGTATTAGATCTTAACAGGTAAAGGGTAACGAACATTGCTTATTTTTTAACAGACTGTTTATTCTTTTCCTTTCTCCTAAGCAGATAAAGACAGAAGAAAAAACCATACCTGTACATCTGTTTGACCAAGACTCTGTCTAAGTCAACATTATATTCTTCCCAAAAGAAATTTTATGTTTATCTGACAGAGACCTGGCTATCTTTGTTTTGACTAGAAGACACTCAGCAAACGCTGTGTGCCAAACAGAAACCAGTCCAGTTTTGGTTTCAGTCTGAGCTGAGCTGATTTTTGCTAAGGAAGCTGGAAGCTTCGGAACCAGAGATGGACCAGAATCATTTTGGGAAAATTAAATTTTTGATTACTGCAAACGAGAAGTCTGTGCTGACCTGGCGGGGTCTGATAAGGCAGTTTGTGACGGTGGGCCAAGACGTATCAGGGTCCTTTTCTGCACGAACCTATCCATAATGACCTCCAGAGCAGATCTGATCCGGATGGACTTCAGAGGTCCAGACACCTCACATCATGAGACAGACAAATGTCTCCAACTGAGCTAATGAACTGTACCTAATCAGGCATTACATGCAAGTGTTCTCAAAACAACCTCGTTAAACAGCCGAGGCACAATTTGATAACATCCTTCTGACTTGTAGTAAGATAAAAGTTACTAAAACTAACTTGGCTCAGATCTTAACACCTTTCTAAATAGACAAAAGCTTATAGGTTTTAACCTGGGTCTCTTGTCAGTTAAGAAAAAATAAGAAAAAAAGAGAGGCTGCTACCTTATCGTGGTGGAGGAGTTTGAGTGTCCCAATGATCCTAGGAGCTATGCTTTCTGGGGATTTATGCCCCTGGTAGGGTCACCCAAGGCAGACAGGTCCTAGGTGAGGAACCAGACAAAGCGCAGCCCAAAGACCCCTTATGATGGACATAAACTTTGGATCTGGCGTTCCCTCGCCCGGAGGCGGGTCACCGGGGCCCCCTCTGGAGCCAGGCCTGGAGGTGGGGCATGATGGCGAGCGCCTGGTGGCCTGGCTTTCACCCACGGAGCCCGGCCGGGCTC